ACCAGGGGAATTTCCAGGTAGCTGGTTGAGCCAGATTTCTGTAGGGGCACAAAGCTGGGGTTCCGAAATATTACTACAGTAATAATAGTTCTTAATGAAAGAATTGACTTCATTGGATTTACACCAGAATCACAATGGGGTAAATAAGCAAAATTTGGTCCATAGATGGGGCTAGTAGACATCTCTCTCTCTCTCTTTCTCTGTTGCTCATCTCTGTGTATAACATTTTTAAAATATATGTTTAGTTTTTATTTCTCTCAAGTATTTCTCCTCCTTGTCCTGTTCCCCCCTCTACCACCAGGGAGCACTCAAGTGTCAACTGTGAAGTTCCCAGGCTGGCAGAACATAATGCTGTATGTGCCACGTTTGTGCCCATCATGAGAATCCCACACAGAATGAGTCTATGCCATTAAGCCTACCCAAGATCGACAGCTCTCAAAGGGGTTATCGGCATTGTAATGAGGGGTGGGGTCATTGGATCTGGGTTATTAGGCCTAGTTGAATTTTTAGGTGGGGGTTAAATCTATTTCTGAAGTGTTCGCCAACATGATTCACATTACATATATTAATATGGATAATATGTGCTTAATGCATATAACATTATATTATATATACACGTCTAGCAGTTACATGGCCTGGAATGGTGGCCTGTGTCTTTCTATAGTCTTATTCACCTATGCTAAGTATCCCATAACACCTTGCATTAGCCAGGAAAACTGTCAGGATCAGCAAATATGGGTGTTCTACTGTAGTAACAGGCAGGAAGTTACTCTCACTGAAATGACCCAAAGATAAGGACAATACATATGGGACAAGCCTAGGAGGTGATGTCATACTCTTTGTACCTGGAATTCGTGTGTCCAAAACAAAGATCTAAGGGGTTGTGACATTCCCCTCTGGTGTTATCCAGACCGGTGATCTGCTAGGTCACTCCAATCCTTAACTCTGGGAGCCAGCCTTACCCCGCTCTGCTGTGAGAACCTCCATTCCTGGGCTGTTCACGCACAGCCTCTGGCATGTAAGCTGTTCCTTGGATTGTGCACTAGCCAATACTGAATGACACTAGCCAATATCTCTAGTCCCAGACATAACCCTAGGAACCTCCCTCTTGCGGTGTCCAGTTATGCCTGCTGGTCTCTGCAAGCTTATATGAGTTTGTTAATTTAACAAAGAAATTGATATGTACCAGGCTTGTTACCCAAGGGGAGTCTCTGACCCGCTTCAAACCAAACACACTGCTCCAGGTAGAATAAACAAACAGATTTATTAACTATAAGGGTAGATTTTAAGTGATTATAAGTCAAAGCAGAACAAGTCAGATTTGGTCAAATGATATAAAAGCAAAATTCATTCTAAGCTGATCTTAACACTTTCAGTGCCCTTACAAACTTAGCTACTTCTCACCACAGGCTGGCTGATTGCCCTTCAGCCAGGCTCTCCCCTTTGATCAGCACTTCAGTCATGATCTCTGTAGGTGTAGGTGGAAGAGAGAGGAAGAGCATGGCAAACAACTCTCCTTTTTATCACGTTCTTTCTTCCATCTTGGCTTTCCCCCCCACCCCCCGCTCCCCTTCAGAGTCAGGTGAGCATTACCTCATCGCAGTCCCAAACTGACCAAAGAAAGGGGGGTGACTCACTCTAGAGTCCAACAGATCCGTTGTTGTTGCCTAGGCCAGTGTCCTTTGTTCCTGTAAGGCTGGGCTGGGTTTGTCCCATACATGCCCTGATGAGGTGTTAACTACCCCTCCACTTCTGGAGACTTTTTGCCTGGGCTTGCTTTAAGCCATGACGACACATTTTCAGCCTCATAACTATATACATGAAATTACAACCAATAACATTACTATAACATTAGAATAACAACAATGCTCAGTACATCATGAGCCTTCGGAAGGACATCCAACATGACAAACTTTGCATTAGATACAACACAATGATATTATAAGGATGAACATGGGGGTGCTGGGTGTTCCCCCGAGCTACAGAACATCACAGGGGTACAGTATAGTACCAGAAAAACAAGGTAGAAAGATGGTATGTTAGCCTCAGAGGATACATACAGTACCTCTTTCCTTGTGTACAGGTTAGGTATAAAAAGGACGGCTTTAGGGGTGTGACTTTGGAAGCAAGCCTTCTTTGTAAGGCGAATTCAGCACTGCTGCAGGAGACGGGTTCCCGGAAATTGGAGTTGTATTGGACTTTTGTTCCTGTAATATGTTATTACTAAGGCTCTGTTTTAGTCACAGGTATTTTTAGTAAAAGTCATGGACAGGTCACGGGCAGTAAACAAAAATTCATGGCCTGTTACCTGTCCATGACTTGTACTATATACCCTTAACTAACACTTGGGCTGAGGGACCATGAGTGCTCTGGGGGTTGGCCCGGAGGGTGCTGTGGGTGCTGGGGGAAAGGCAGCCTGGGGGGCACCACGGGCCCAGGGGAGACAGCCGCGAGGGCTGTCGCAGGTGCTTGGGGTGGTGGTGTCACATGGCCCAGGACCCCTGCTGGTGCTGGGGGGAGGGTTGGCAGGGCTGGCTGGAGGTGTCCCTTCAGCTCCTAGGGGGAGGGAAGGACAGGTGGGCTCCGTGCACTGCCCCTGCCATTAGCATTGGCTCCACAGCTTCTCTTGCCAGGGGTACAGCGCCACAGTGCCAGCGTAGACACCCTGGTCGATTACAGTGCTGTGATTGGCCTCCGGGAGGTGTCCCACAATCCCTGTTCTCACCTCTCTGATCATTGGTTTGAACTCTACTGCCCTGCTCTCAGGTGACCAACCGTCATCCTCACCCTGTAAATTCCTTTGGAATTTTGAAAGTCCACTTCCTGTCTGGTTTGTGACGCGTGCAGTGGTCTCAGAGCATCTTTTCAGGTGGCCATGCCTGCTCCATGCACCAGGCAATCTCCTGCTTGGAGCAATGCCGAGCTTCTGGCCTTCATAAATATTTGGGGAGAGGAGGCTGTCCAGTCCCAGCTGCACTCCATCCATAGGAATTATGACATCTACAGACAGATTTCACGATGCATAACAGAAAGGGGCCATGATCAGGACACATTGCAGTGCAGGGTCAAAGTGAAGGAGCTGTGGAATACCAACCACAAGGTGGAGGAGGCAAACCGCTGCTCTGGTGCTGCCCCCACGAGCTGCTGGTTCTACAAAGAACTGGACGCGATACTTGACGGCGACCCCACCTCCACTGCAAAGACCACTGTGGATACTTTGGTGGCTCACATGGCATTAGAAAGTGGACTGAGCCAGGAGGAGGAAATCTTGGATGAGGAGGTGGAGACGGAGTGGTAGCCAGAGGCAGAGGATGACTTAGAGGTCAGAGATGCATACAGCCAGGAGCTCTTCTCTACCCAGGAAGAGGCTAACCAGTCATAGGTTCAGATGCTGGGAAAGCGCAAACAGGAGAGGAGGCCCCGGTAAGTTGATATGATTTGGGGAATCGCTGAAGTGAGTTGTTGGGGGCAGGAGGGTTGCAGAAAGCAGGCTTGTCTCCCACTGCAGGCCTAGTCTGAGCGTCGGAACAGGCTGCTGATTGACTCCCTCACTTCACGGGAATCTGCCTCAGAGATCTCCAGGAAACTCTCGTGGAGATACAGGGCAATCTGCTGCTACAGGTTCTTTGGCAGAGCTGCTTTGTTTCTTGCCCCATTAACGGTAACTTTCCCGTGCCCCTGTGCTGTCACGGGGTGGCGGGGACCATTGCTGCACACAGACGAGCTGCATACGGGCCAGGGCAAAAGCTGCAGTCTTGGAGAAGACCCTCCCTTGATTCCCTGCTGACCCTCAGCAGTGAGATATCTTCCATAATGATCACATCCTGTGGAAAGTGTGGGGACAGGAATAATTATCAGGCCCTCCATACAGTGCTGACACTCTCCAAGAGCCACGTGCCCAGTGTACAGCAGGGTCTGAGAAGAGTGATTTACCCTGCCCAAGTGGTTACTCACCATTTTGGGGATCTTGTGGCTCACGTGTGCTTGTCTGGGGTCAGCCAGTTAGTGCCAGGTGTGTGAGTACTGGCTGTGTTTAAAGCACTGAATCAGTGCTCTCTGTGTTGCAAACAATCCTGCTTCTGTAAAACGTTGTGTTAAAACTTCACAGCGATGACCTTGGGAGCCCAGCCTCCCTCTTTGTTATCGGCGGCTGAACAGCTGCGCAGAATTAGAAAGCAGCCAAGAAGCACTAAGGAGGACTTTCTCTGTGATGTTATGATGCACTCTGCTGCCGACACACTCTTATCAACCTCCTGGCTCCAGTCTATACCTGAGGCTTTCCACTCCTCCCCCCTCACAATCCAGCACTGTGGACTCTCACTATCCCCTGCACTCAGCACCCATCCCTCTGCAGTTTGGCCCTGCTGAAGTACAGTACCCGCTGCATGGTACTCCAAGTTGAAGGTTAGATATGATTCCTGGACATGAACAAATCTTTAGTCCTCCCAGGACCCCTCCTCCTCCTGGGACCTTCCCTTCCCCCACCCCCATCACTGCTGATGTTCTTTCTTTGACTCTCTCCTCTGGTTGTTGTTTTTCTTTAAATAAAAGAATTGTGTTGGTTTGCAAGCAATCTTTATTCTATTAATTGAAAGCAAAAAGGGCCCTGCAAAGCAACATAGAATTACGTTAAACCCACATATTGCATCGTCTGCACCAGTCGCCTTCTAGCATTACAAGCACTGCACTCCTGAGCATAGCAACAAATCTTAGTGGCTTTCAGCTTCAAATTGCTGCCTCAAGGCATCCCTGAGCCTTATGGCTCCACGTTGCGCCCCTCTAATAGCCCTGGTCTCTGGCTGTTCAAGCGAAGCCTCCAGGCACTGAGCCTCTGCTATCCATCCCTAAGTGAAGCTTTCACCCTTCCCTTCACAAATATTATGGGGTATACAGCGTGTGGCTATAAGCATAGGAATATTGTCATGGGGCAGGTCCAGCTTCCCATAGAGGCAGCACCAGCGGGCTTTTAAATGGCCAAAAGGAATTCTGCACTTGCTCAGCCTGTTGTTGAACCACTCCTTGCTGCTGTCAAGTTGCCCTGTGTATGGCTTCATACGCCACAGCATTAAGGTGTAGGCAGGGTCTCCCAGGATCACAATGGGCATTTCAACTTCCCCTACAGTGATCTTCTGGTCTGGTAAGAAAGTCCCTGCTTGCAGCTTCGTGAACAGGCCAGTGTTCCGAAAGATGTGTGTGTCATGCACCTTTCCAGACCAGCCTGTGTCTGTGAAATGCCCACAGTGATCCACAAGCGCCTGGAGAACCATTGAGAAATACCCCTTGCGATTAATGTACTCAGTGACTAGGTAGTCTGGTGCCAGAACTGGAATAGTCATGCCGTCTATCGCCCCTCCATAGTTAGGGAAGCCCATTTGTGCAAAGCCATCCACAATGTCATATGCGTTGCCCAGAGTCATGGTCTTTTGGAGCAGGATGCGATTAATGGCCCTGCCAACTTCCATCAACACGAGTCGAACGGTCGACTTTCCCACTCTGAACTGGTTAGCGACCGAACAGTAGCAGTCTGGAGTAGCCAGCTTCCACAGTGCAATCACCACATGCTTCTCCAATGGAAGGGCAGGTTTAATTCTCGTTTCCTTGCGCCGCAGGGCTGAAGTGAGCTCATCACACAGTCCCATGACTGTGGCTTTCCTCATCCGAAAGTTCTGCAGTCACTGCTCATCATCCCAGATGTGCATCACGATATGATCCCAACATTCAGTGCATGTTTCCTGAGCCCCAAAGTGGCATTCCACTGTAGTCAGCACCTCCGTGAATGCCAGAAACAATCTCGTATCGTAGCTACTACGCGTGGCGAGATCAATGTCGCACTCCTCTTGCCTTGGTAGTTTAAGGAATAACTCCACTGCCACTTGTGACGTGTGGTCAGAGCGAGCAGCATACTGGTCAACAGTTCGGGATCCATTCCTGCAGCCTGAAGAAGCAGGGTGCACAAAACACAAACCATTAAAAGATGGCGCCAAATGCGGACAAAAGCACAGGGATTGCTGGGATGTGAAGCAATCCATCATGGGGTACTGGAACAGAATCCAGGATGACCCATGACCCCTTCCACCTTCCCACAACTCTGAGCGGCAGAAGAGAAAGAGGTGCTCTGTGGGATAGCTGCCCAGAGTGCACCGCTCCGAATACCGCTGCAAGTGCCGCAAGTGTGAACACGCTATTGTGCAGGCAGCTGACAGTGTGAACACACAACAGCGGTTTCCATCACGTGGAGTGGAACAGACGGGCTGTCCTCTCTCAAGCTCTGCGCTAGCTCCATCCCCAGCTATGGGCTGGATGCAGGAATCCCTCAGTCATTCTTTAGCCCATGCAGTGCGAGAGGCCGGATCAGCCTGCTCCCTTCCTGGCCTTAGAATCTCTGAATTAATGGCTCTGCCTTTGCTCCAAGGGGAACTGTGATGCCGTCATCTCCCCAGCTCCCTCATCCTCCATAGAGTCTCCCGGGAGGAGATCGACCGGAGCTGAATTTCAAAGAAGCGCCCCCTTTTTAGCTCCCTGATGAGGAAAGCAGAATGGGGTTCCACAGCCCGCTGTGCTTCCCTTTTTCACATCACTTCGGGCACTCGGCTCATGGGTCCTTTATCATCTGGTTCTTCGCACCGGTGTAATGCCTCTGGGCTGATACCTGAGTGAAAATCACATCAAAAGCAGCCTGTGTTGTCTTTTTCTGTTGTCATTGCATAGACACACTGGCTGACCTTGGTAAGTCATTACCCCTCCCCGTGCCTCAGTTTCCCCATCTGTAAAGTGGAGAGAATGCTCCTCCCTTTGCCTATTGCCATGAGCCTTTTGGGTCACAGACTGGCTCACTGTGTGGCTACATCTACACGTACGGGGGGGGGTGTCGATTTAAGATACGCAAATTCAGCTACGCGAATAGCGTAGCTGAATTTTACGTATCGCAGCAGACTTACCCCGCTGTAGGGACGGCGGCAAAATCGACCTCTGCGGCTTCCTGTCGACGGCACTTACTCCCACCTCCGCTGGTGGAGTAAGAGCGTCGATTCGGGGATCGATTGTCGTGTCCCAACGGGACGCGATAAATCGATCCCCGAGAGGTCGATTTCTACCCGCCGATTCAGGCGGGTAGTGTAGACCCAGCCTGTGTCTGTGCAGCGCCGAGCGTGATGTGGCCCTGATCTCAGTTGGCTCTGGGCAGCACCTGGCACAATGGCGGCCCTGATCTTGGTGGGCTCTGGGTGCCACCAGCACAATGGGCAGGACTGGATTTCCAATTATGCATGTGCCTACGGACACCGGCATTCTATGGGGCACCTAAAAATTTTGCCACTCTCAGGTTCCTGCAGGGGGCATGGCTGACTGAGGAGGAGACGGCCCCACAGAGCCATGCTGCTGGAGCGCTCCTCGCTCCACTCGGCAGACAGCGTCACCTCCCGGGGGGCCAGTGAGGGTGGGCCATGGGGCAGGGCTTGGGAGAGTGGGTCTCTGCAGGAGTTCATGGGGCAGCTCTGGGCAGAGGGGGTGGGGGGCACTGGGCAGTGGGCGGAGGGGTGCTGGGCGGCAAGGCACCTAAAACTTAAAAGTGGTGGGTTTACCCCACAACCCGTGGTGGTTAAGAGCTTCCGGGGTACACTGCCGCTCCCCGCTGCCTCCAGGCAGTGGGATCCCCAGAGCTCCAAGCTGGACGGGGGGACAACTGCTGAGCCCCTGTGCCTAGGGGTGCCCAAAGTGTAAATCTGGCATTGACAATGGGGGCTCCTGGGCTTTGTTGCTAATACACACAGTAAAAGACCCAGTTGTTCTGGCCAAACATCCAGTTCCCAACTGGAATCAGTTAAAAATATTAGCAGGGATCCCAGCTGGGGCTGATTTCCCAGAGCACCAGGTTTCTGCATTTTTAATTCCACCATTGGCAGGGCACCGACTGGCCCATTGGCCCAGGATTGGCAGGACGGGGGTGGCTGGGGGTGTGTGCAGCTGAGTGGTGGTTACCATCTGCCCATGGTGCCTTACCCTGTCTCTGCCTTCCAGGGCTCTGCATCGCCCTGTGCCTGTGGGGCACCGTGGCCCAGAATAATGGAGTACAAGGTAAGGCTGACTCCTCCTGGCTAACCTTCCCCAGCGCTCCCGGCTGCCTGGGGTCTCTGGCCTCCGCCCCCTCCGGTCCCTTTCCCTTGTGGGAGGAGAGCAGAGTCAGGGGTCTGGCGAGCTGGGAGCAGCCCCTTGGTGTAGGTGTCTTGGGGTGGGTTTATAGAGTACGGTGGGTGCGTGCAGGGGAGAGGAGAAGTGGGGGGCGTTTGGGATCTGGACTCTGTACCCTGAGCCCAGTTCTGCTGCAAATCCCAAGGTGGGAGATGAAATAATTTATAAAATGAAAAAATCCCGTTTCCGGTTCAAAGGGAGTTTTTGGTTTGAAATTGACACTAATCAGAGTAATGACAACAGCAACAAAAAGGAGAAAAATTGATTGAGATCGAAAACATTTCATTTGAACCGATGCCCGGCTATCAGATGCTATCAGGGCAGGTCGAGTTCTGAGGATTCTGAGCTTTGCAGCCTCCTTATCTTGGAGAAATTAGACAGGAAGCCCAGTCGACTCATGTCCTGTTGCATTATATTGTATCAACCAACAGCACTGCACACAGGAAAGCACAGTCTTCTCAGCATGCCCTGCTCTCCTTCCTTCTGCCCTACCACTTCTCCCAGCCCCATAATAATTTACTTTGCTGAGTACCTATGGGGGAAACTAACCACAGTGCAGAGGGCCTAACACCATTTCACAGAATCACAGAAATGTGGAGTTGAAGGGACCTCAGAAGGTCAAACAATCCATCCCCATGCGCTGAGGCAGGTCCAAGTGCACCTAGACCATCCCTGGCAGGTGTTTTTCCAACCTGTCCTTAAACCCCCAGTAACAGGGATTCACTTGAACCGACGCCCGGCTCTGGCGGCTCTGCCTGTCTGTGCCGGGGGCTCCCCGGGGAGCCAAGGCCCCTGTGCAGCCGAGGGCAGGTTGTTGCCAGGCGGTGGATGGCGTCGAAGCTGTTTGCCAGGCGCCCAGGGATGAGACTCAGCGAATGGGGCGTGTGAAAGCAGTTGATCCCACTGTGTGTGTCTGGGGGCGGGGGGTGGGGGGAGCTGCTCTGCACTGGCTGACCCTGCCCAGCTGTTCCCGCCCCTGCAGGTACCACTGAGGACTGCAACAGCCATGTGCTGTGCCCAGCAAACGCCAAGTGTGTGAACAACACCCACTGCACCTGCCTGGATGGATACCAGACACATGGGAATCGCTTCTTCACCGACACAACGGAGATCTGTGACGGTAATGGGGCTCCCACGTTGTCCTGGGGGGGCTGGGACAGAGCAGGGCATTAAGTGCCGGAGCAGCCAACTCCACTGACTGCAGGGCCTGTTGGGGGGGCTCAGCCCGGCTGGGGAATGAGGGGGGGCAGCAGCACGGGTGAGCGCCGCCCTCCTGGGGATCGAACCGGGGCCTCCAGAGTGAACAGCAGGAGCGACTGCAGCAGGAACCAGGAGGGTTGGGCTCTGTGGATTGGGCACAGGGTGGGGGGGCCCATCACACTGACCCGTCTGAATCCCAACCTGGGCCGTAATCAGCCCTTGGGTGTCCAGGGGCAGAAGGGCCCCACGGATCCCTGCCCAGAGGAGCAGAATGGGACAGCCCTGGCTATACTTCCCCCCTCCAACCCACAGGGATCCAAGGAGGAAGGGGGCAGAGGAGAGGCTTTGTCACCCCCCCAACACACAGGGAGCCTGGAGCCCCAGGGGGACGTCTCCCCCCCCCACATGGGGGATCTGGGTGTTTGTGGGGCTGAACCGCCCCGTACCTGGGACAGGATGTTCGGGGGGCTGTTTACGACATTCCAGCAGCAGAATTGGGTAACTGAGGATCAGGGCCTTAATCACTAACTGCTCAGGGCCCCGGTCGCCTGGGTCCCGTCACCCAGCTCAGTGCGGGGGTTGGGGGGCGTGATACGGGGAACATCTTCCTGCCAGGACTGTACAGAGCGTCCCCTCTTGCATTACAGATATTAACGAGTGTCTGGGGCCGAGCCAGCCAGACTGCGGACCCAACGCAAACTGCAACAATACGCCTGGGAGTTACTACTGCACCTGCATCGATGGCTACGAGTCCAGCTCTGGGAAAGCCAACTTCACGCACGCGAGTGAGAACACCTGCCAGGGTGAGCTCTCCCCTGGCCCCCACCTGTTGAGACCCCCACCCCTCATACACACAAATCCTCATTCCAGCCTGAAGCTGCTCCGCGGCTGCTGCTGGCTTTGGCAGTGGCCCGATGCCGTCAGCGAGGCTGTGATGAGACGTGACCCTCACCTGCTCCCGCAGAGCATGGGGCCGGGCTCACCCCTGTGCCCGGCGCTTGGACAGGGAATAAATCCCCGGGGTTAGAAACAGACCCACGGAGCAAACTCCTTGTGCTGCAGAGATGCGCTGGGGAGAGCGGAGGGGACCCTCGCTGGCCCCAGCACGCAGCATCTGAGCTGCTAGTGCCCCACGGAGCCTGGGAAGTGGCCCCGGGAATGACTCTGGTAATTGGGCTAAAGTGTTCTTGAATTTGCCCCCGTCCCCTATGGCTTGAGCTTCCGCTGGGGGCGGGCAGCCATGCTCTCCTCTGGCCTCTAGGGGGCACAGCTGCTACTTCGAGGGACCCTCCCACTGCCCCAAGCTCCCTGCGTGGGCAGTGGTGTCAGGGGCCATGTGCTGTGACTGGCATTGCCAGCCCAGCCCCAGGCTTCCCTGAGGCACCCCCAGTTCCAGCAGTCTGGGGCGGGGACATGGGGTTGGCGTTCGTTGGCTCCGTGTGCTGTCCCGGCTCTGGGCGGGTCGCCAGCCCGGCAGACCTCCATCGAAGTGCCCAGACAACCCACAGAGTCGGATCAGTGGCCAAGGCGCTCGGCCGGGTTTATCGCCAATGAAGCCCAGTGCCAGCGCCCAGAGATGCCTCAGGGACACGGCCACACGTCTGCCTCTGACAATGGACCCCGACAGTTACAGACTGAGACAAACAATCCGGGATAAACAACCTACGTACCAGCTTGTGTGTTTCACAACATGCTTGTTACCCCCCTTGTGCCTTTCTCCTGCTGCTTCAGACAAAACATCCCTTATTCCCACCTGGCTTTGTACTTTACTTCTGATGCTTCAGTCAAACCATCTTATCATGCGCTAGGCAGGGGAATCTCGTGCTGGAATGTGGTTACACAGTCACTGGGTTTTGGCAATGCCGGCAATATCGGTGCCGAGTTCATGCACCAGACGGTGAACTTGCAGACAACCCTCTGCTTTGTGACAGGATGTGACTGTTGGTGCCTGGGGGGGCCACACTGAGATTGCTCCATCAGGGCAAACTGCAGAGTGGGGCCGACAATCCCCCAATCTGCTGGTTAGTTCTGAAACTTCGATTCACAAAACCAGCAACAAAACAGCTGCTCCGATACCGTGCTGCTCACCCAGAAGCCAGAAACACAGCTCCCGGCTCCTTTTCTAGAATGGCTTTAAACAGGGCCGGCTCTGGCTTTCTGGCCGCCCCAAGCAAAAAAAAAAAAAACCCGCGGTGGCCAGAACAGCACCTGCGGCACAGCCGGAGCAGTGTGGAGCCCTCCTGGCAGGGG